AAAAAAAAAGGAGTAACTTATGAAGGATATTATACTCTTTAATTCTAGCTTTATTGTTTGCTCTATTCATAATGGAAGATATTCTTTATATATTATATGGTATTAACTAATATTTAGACTATCGTAGCTCATGGTTATAGTTGAAGAGTCACTGACTGTTCCTGACCAATATGATGGACGCAGTGAGAGGACAACATTTGAACATTTAGTAAGTGTTCTTGTCACTGATGCGAGGAGTAAAGTGAGGACAACAGGCATCTCTTATGCTTAAACATGCAGGTTACCTTTATGTAGGATATATATGGAGGTAGAACAATGCAAATCATTATTATTAATATTTTCCATGAGTGCCACTTCAATGTGTTATGTAGGATTTTGACAAGAGATTGTCTAAGGTTGAGGTTGAATTGTCTGAATTTCGGTCGGACCATGAAGCATTGTCTGCCAAGTTCACAGTTGAAGTAACTGAAATTAAAAATATGCTGAAAACACTTTCTGAAAAGGTGTGTAAAATTGGGAGAGAACAACCTACAAAGGAGTCTGTCCACGTGAGTACACTATATTACTGTGTTGTCCTTTACCATAGTACTTGTGTGTGCTACTTTTTATATTTTATGTGGTGTAAAATGTGAACCAGGGATTATTCGATGACAATGAAAGCGAGGTCCGGGCTGACAGCACCAATGAGGTTATTTTACACATAACTTTAAACCAATTAATTTTTTTAGTGCACATGGACCTAAAATGGCAAGCACTCCACTTTCAGGTTGTTGATGGGTTGGTTCCCCATATTACTGATGTTAGTGATGAAGTAGGAAATGCAATATTGAACTACATTTTTCATGAGTGATTTGATGCAGAGTATGTCATAATTATTACCATTACAGGGTGTTTATTATTTGCAGTTCTTATGCAAATCATACCTTACATGTTTTAATTTGACAGTAAGACGATTGTTTAGTTTGAAAACTTTCATGCAACAAGAATGACAATGAAGTCATTGGGACCTAGACAATGGTTGCTAAGCGAGGTGAGTTATATAATTTTCCCATATAACTATACCCACTTTTGAATTAATTGGCAATGGATTAAATGTCTGCAATTCTAAATATATATAATTTTGTACACAGTTAATCAATGTCGCTGCATGCATTATGCCACAAATAGATATGGGGAACAACGACACACAAAAGGCCAAGTGGTATATTTCGATGCGGTTTGCTGTAATATTCCACAATAAATTTTTGGTTTTATGTGATTTTCTTCTATCATTGTGGTCATATTGTGTCTTAATGTTCAATATGAAGTTACGTCTTTATAATTTCATAAATCCTTAAATTGTAGCAAACAGTCATTCACTTTACATCTGAGGGGAACACTAGTGTGATCATGCAATGAAAACTCATGAGATTGTGTGGTCGATACATCCAGGACATTGACATGTGTGTGAAGGTTTGACTGGATAAAAACTCACAACAAATTCTGCATTAAAATATTTTAATCTATCAAATTATGTACGTCACCATAGTGTACTGACTGCAATTGGCTTATGTAGATCTATTTCCCCATTTACGACGGCCAAAAACATTGGTACTTATGCGTTGTAGACATCCAACAAGAAGAAGTCCTCCTACTGGATACTCTTCTAAGTCGAACAATGAAGCATGAACGACGTAAGGAAGTGGATGATGTGGTATGTATGATCTAATTTGGAATGCAGAATATGATCAATGCAACTCATTCGATGGTGGATTTGGCAAGTGTCACTTATTGCATTGTATGACTGAGTAGGTTGCGGCATTGGGTGAACTTATTTGCTAGTTTAACAAAAATTTTGAAAAAGTAATCAGTACATGGCCTGTGATTGAACCAAGTTAGACACCCAAACAAGTGAATGGATATGATTGAGGAATTCACGTTGTCGATATGATCCATCAACCTCGTTTGGGTCAAACTATAATGAAGGTGTAGTATAAAAAATGTTTATTTTTCTTCCTTAATTCTAATGTTTTGCACATGTTATAACACTTAAAATTATATGTAGGCATCGTCGTCAAATGTTAGAAAGGATCTAGCATTAAAGTTGGTTACCCATCCACATAATACTAAGTGAGATGAAATAATTGGCAAGTCATTGAACCTCCTGGACATAAACTTACGATGAAGCTGGATGCATCTGTATATTTTTGAGACAGTGTGTATACCGACTCCAAGGTGGCATGAACACCTGCTACTCAACACCAATTAGGAGAAACCAACTCAGCCAACTATCAGAAAAATGTCAACTCAGCCAAATGCCTGATTTTGCCGACGTGAGTAACATTTTCGTCTCTCCCTCTGCTACTTTTTCTCTCTGTACTACAATACAATCAATTTAGTTGTCCATTTGACATNGACATGTGTGTGAAGGTTTGACTGGATAAAAACTCACAACAAATTCTGCATTAAAATATTTTAATCTATCAAATTATGTACGTCACCATAGTGTACTGACTGCAATTGGCTTATGTAGATCTATTTCCCCATTTACGACGGCCAAAAACATTGGTACTTATGCGTTGTAGACATCCAACAAGAAGAAGTCCTCCTACTGGATACTCTTCTAAGTCGAACAATGAAGCATGAACGACGTAAGGAAGTGGATGATGTGGTATGTATGATCTAATTTGGAATGCAGAATATGATCAATGCAACTCATTCGATGGTGGATTTGGCAAGTGTCACTTATTGCATTGTATGACTGAGTAGGTTGCGGCATTGGGTGAACTTATTTGCTAGTTTAACAAAAATTTTGAAAAAGTAATCAGTACATGGCCTGTGATTGAACCAAGTTAGACACCCAAACAAGTGAATGGATATGATTGAGGAATTCACGTTGTCGATATGATCCATCAACCTCGTTTGGGTCAAACTATAATGAAGGTGTAGTATAAAAAATGTTTATTTTTCTTCCTTAATTCTAATGTTTTGCACATGTTATAACACTTAAAATTATATGTAGGCATCGTCGTCAAATGTTAGAAAGGATCTAGCATTAAAGTTGGTTACCCATCCACATAATACTAAGTGAGATGAAATAATTGGCAAGTCATTGAACCTCCTGGACATAAACTTACGATGAAGCTAGATGCATCTGTATATTTTTGAGACAGTGTGTATACCGACTCCAAGGTGGCATGAACACCTGCTACTCAACACCAATTAGGAGAAACCAACTCAGCCAACTGTCAGAAAAATGCCAACTCAGCCAAATGCCTGATTTTGCCGACGTGAGTAACGTTTCCGTCTCTCCCTCCGCTACTTTTTCTCTCTGTACTACAATACAATCACTTTAGTTGTCCATTTGACTTTTTCTCTTTGAATTCTCTTGTTTATGCTTTGTGTTATGTGTAAACATGTATGGAGCGAAGTCCATGTGTTGAGTGCAATATGGAAGCAAATGCAAAATGATATGTGTGACTGTTCTTCAAAAAATATATGTACATTGTAATCTCTCTTTTTTTTGGGGATAAAAGTGGATGATCATTTTTTTTATTGGTAAATTCAGTTGTTTGCAAATTTTTTTGAGAGGTATGGCTTTATTGGATGGACTAAAAATTATA